GAGCGGCCGCGCGCGCGCGCCCCGCCGCGCCGCCCTCGCGCCGGGCAGTTTGTTTGTGTCCCAGAATGCACCGCGCGCGGGGAGGGGAGGGGGAGAAGAGGGGAGGGGAGGCGGCGCATGCGCAGTGAGGGGCAGCGGGAGGGGTACGCGCGGTCCTACACACCCCCCGCCTCCTCCTCCCGGGACCGGGATGCTGCGGGGGGCTCGCCAGGGTATCCCAACCCTCCGGTGCTCCGGTACCTGCACCCCCGGAGCCCAGGACTGTGCACCCCACCCCTCGGCCCTCCGGTACCTGCACCCCCGGGGCCAGGACCGTGTATCCCAACCCTGGATGTCCCGGTAACTGCGCTCCCGGAGCCATCACCGTGCATCCCACCCCTCCGGTGCTCCGGTGTGTGCATCCATGGGACTAGCACCGTGCATCCCAGCCCTCCGGTGCTCCGGTGTGTGCACCCCCAGGGCGAGAACCGTGCATCCCACCCCCCGGTGCTCCAGTGCCTGCACCCCTGGGGCCAACACGGTGCACATCGTGCACAATCCCCCTCCTCCGGTGCATCCCCGGGGCCAGGACCGTGTATCCCACCCCTCCGGTGCTCCGGTGTGTGCACCCCCGGGGCCAGCACCGTGCATCCCACTCCCCGGTGCTCCGGTGTGTGCACCCCTAGGGCGAGAACCGTGCATCCCACCCCCCGGTGCTCCGGTACCTGCACCTCGGATGCCCCCGTCCCCCGGTGGATCCCCCGGGGCCAGCACCGTGCATCCCACCCCTCCGGTGCTCCGGTGTGTGCATCCATGGGACTAGCACCGTGCATCCCAGCCCTCCGGTGCTCCGGTGTGTGCACCCCCAGGGCGAGAACCGTGCATCCCACCCCCCGGTGCTCCGGTGCCTGCACCCCTGGGGCCAACACGGTGCACATCGTGCACAATCCCCCTCCTCCGGTGCATCCCCGGGGCCAGGACCGTGTATCCCACCCCTCCGGTGCTCCGGTGTGTGCACCCCCGGGGCCAGCACCGTGCATCCCACTCCCCGGTGCTCCGGTGTGTGCACCCCTAGGGCGAGAACCGTGCATCCCACCCCCCGGTGCTCCGGTACCTGCACCTCGGATGCCCCCGTCCCCCGGTGGATCCCCCGGGGCCAGCACCGTGCATCCCACCCCTCCGGTGCTCCGGTAACTGCACCCCCGGGGCCAGCACCGTGCATCCCACCCCCCGGTGCTCCGGTGTGTGCACCCCCAGGGCGAGAACCGTGCAACCCAGCCCCCCGGTGCTCCGGTGTGTGCATCCCCGGAGCCCAGGACTGCGCATCCCACCCCCCGGTGCTCCGGTACCTGCATCCCCGTGGCCCAGGACTGCGCATCCCACCCCCCGGTGCTCCGGTGTGTGCACCCCCAGGGCGAGTACCGTGCATCCCAGCCCCCCGGTGCTCCGGTGTGTGCACCCCCAGGGCCAGAACCGTGTATACCACCCCCCGGTGCCCCGGTACATGCACCCCCGGGGCCAACACCGTGCACATCGTGCACAATCCCCCTCCCTCGGTGCATCCCCGGGGCCAGGACCGTGTATCCCACCTCCCGGTACTCCGGTGTGTGCACCCCCGGGGCCAGCACCGTGCAAACTGCCCTCCACTTTGCGCCCATCCCAAGCAAGTTTAGACTTAACGAGCCTCTAATTAACCCACCCCTGTAATTCGGTCCAAACCCGGGCTCACTGGGGGTAAGCACAGCTTAATTTAACCTGATTAGCCCAACCATCTCCTCCATGGCTTCTTTTATGGTGGTGGTGGGGGGCTTTGTTGGTTTTTTTGGGTTGTTTCAGGGGTTTTTTTTGTGATGAGCACTCGGTAAAGCGAAGCAGGGGTCCAAAAATGTTAATCAACATTAAAAAATTTAAAAGCAGCCCCTTGGAGAACATCATTTTAGATGGGACCCTGGGACCACGTGAGATGTTTCCTTGGAAAACCAGGGAGACCCCCAGAAATTTCCAGGGCTGGAGTCTCCGTTGATTAATTCTCCTTTGGCTTCCTCTTATATTGGCTTTTTATTCCTGGGGATCCTCCTGGTGCAGTTTCCTCCTCTGCAAAAAAAAAAAAGGAAAAAAAAAATCACACCAATTTCGGCAGGTGGAGCGTGCGCACGAGTTGTTTCCACATTAATAAGATTTTAATTAAGAATCTGCTGCTGGCGATCCGCCGTGACTCCTGAATCACAGCAGATTAATAAAAAAACACACCTCAGGCTGCCATCCCTCCGAAAAGTGTCGAGCTGGGGGTGTTTGATGGCAAAACTGTTGGAGATGGAGGGATTTTAGTCAACCAACAGCCCTATCCTGCTTGAGACTTGCTCTGAGGAGGCCGTGGGCTTTGCACAGGAGGGAAATTGGGTCCGAACCACCCAAATTTATGTCTGGAACATGGTAAAACTCAGCACGGTCTGTGTCCTTTCAGCAAAATGACAAAATCCTCCGAGTAAAGCGTTGAAATTTCCTCTGTATGGCCTGGGAATAAGCCATAAAACTGCACGATGAAGCACCACCTTGAGTTTTTTGATAAAACTGCACGATGAAGCACCACCTTGAGGTTTTTGTTTTGTTTTCTTTTGGTTTTCCCCTGGATTAATTCATGTTGGTTTTTTTTGGTTGTTTTTTTTCCCCCTGAATTAATTCAAGACATATAAACACCCCAGGAATAAAGCACAGCCCCAGCATCAGGGGGGATCCAGCTAGGATGTCCCAACATCCCATGGGATGCTCGGCGTCCAGAGGTTGGATTTCATCCCCCAAAATCATCCCTGCTTAAAAAAAAAATAAAAAATAGAAGCCTTTTATTTAATTTCTTCCTCTTTCTTCCTTTTCCTTACAACCTCCCTCAACGGCACACCCGCCTCCCGGCCCCTGTTTCTGCCTGGCTCGTTAAGTTTTCCAATTAACGGCGGGGTGTTTGGGTTTGGGATCCCGCAGAGGAGCACACCAGCCTCCCCCCCAGCCTGACTCCGAGATGAATTTCTTCCCTCTCCTGCAGAAGAAGCTGTTTTATTAATAACAATTTCTTAGCCCTGGGTACCCGAAGAGCTTCTCCAGCGATTCCTAGGGATTTTGCTGGAGTCAATCCGGGAGGGAGCTGTATTGATTTATGCCTCCTTGGGTTTCCTAAGTTAAAGGGTCACCTTTTATTGCCATCTGCTCTGGTTCTAGCAACCTTCTCAGGGAGAGGCGTTGCAATAAATTGCCGAAATACCCACTCCCCCTTAAGGAGATTTGCTCTCACCCACGTTTTACGGTGTCGTGGTCTCGATTCGTGGACGTAGATGGAGCAACAGGGATCAAAAAACCCTGATTAATTCAGTGGTCAATCTGGTCTGTGCATTATTTTGGGGGGGGATCATTTATGTGCTTGTTTCTGGGGACCCATAGGGACTGTGGGAGTCCCTTG